TGTAACAAATATTTACATGGGAGACACACACACACAACAATGTAAATATGTGTGTGTGAAGAGGTTGTGTGCTAGCAAATATTACACCATCTGTAAAAGATCTGTCACATGTAAGTGGCCAAGACATAACACATATTGTTTGGTCTCTCATATGCTTTAAAGGTTGCAAAGAACTTGATATAAATTGCCCTATTTAATCTTGGTAGATACATTGGTCCTTTTGGCACGCTCACTCACTCATACATACATACACATCCGTTCTCTTGAGAATGTCTCGATGACTCTTGGCAATTGATATTTCCATATTTGAAGGGGAGGAGGGGGGTTTAAATGTATTTGGGGTTATTCAAATATCTAAGAATACTTCAAAATATAGTTATAGTTAAACTTTCAAATCAAAAGAATTAGCCTATATTTGAATGTGTGTGTGTGTGTGAAGGCATGTATGTGTGGTTGCTTCTATGAAATGTAGTGCAGAGAGTTTATTGCAGTTCTTGGAAATATTATTGCTTCGTAATCAAGCAAAAATACTATTTAAATTGAAATTCTGTGAAAATATTACTACAGTGACTCGAAGAGATCAGATTTGTTGTATTACAATGGTTTACCTATTGAGGTGGGTGGAGATCACTTGGGTAGAAAACGTGCTGAAATATTTAAAATATTGAAAATCAGGAGTCGAAGGGTCTTTCCCAAGTCCATAAATATTTTCTTAATATTGCTTAACATCTGTCATACCACTGTGCTGCAGAATAAATTCGTATGTGTATGGATGTCTGAGTGAATGCATGCTTGCAAAGCAAGAAAAAAAACTTGCTGACGTTTGTTAGTCACATATAAGCCTGGAGAATTTAATGCATCCATCGATGCTTGGCTGGCTGGGTGGCTGGCTGACTCTTTTTGGCTGGATGATTGCCTCTTCGGTTCGTTGGCAACCAAAGGCCTTCAAATATATATAAATATACGGATAACATTTCTATATACAGGAAAAATATATACATAAATAATTTTGTGCACACACACACACACACACACACACAACCCAACATACCAAATTGACTTGAGAATAATATTTTAATAAGCTTACAAACATAAGCCTTAAGCTTGAGAAAATCTTGAGAATGTATTGAGAAATGTTTGTTTAACAATTATAGAATAATCGAAAAGGAACCCTTATTCATAAGCTTATTCTTGTAATTGCAGAATAAGCTTACGAAAGTAATATTTTATAAAGCTTATTTTTTCAATGGTAAAAAATATTTATTTATTCATTTTTTAATTATTTTACACATTTCATTCATTGATTGCCATCCCAGCTGTCACTGCATCCTGTTGCCTTGATACCTAGATGCTTTCTTTCCCCTTATTTGAGCTTCTGTATCTCCTCCACTTATTCTTCACTTCTGTTGAATTCCTGCAACTTTTTGACGCCTCCATTCTGAAATGAGATTGAAATAATTTATACTACAGATTCCCAGATTTATTATTCATCATTACCTTAGAGTTTCGTCCGGAAATGGGTCCTAAATTCGCGTGATTTTGATTTTAACCAAAGAAAATAATTTTTTGTTGACAATTTTCACAAAAAAAAATCAAAACAAATTTGTCAACAAAGGACAGATTTGAGAAAAGTTTGTGCAAAAAAGTGTTTCTCAAGCATTGTTGAAAAATTCTTATGATAAACTATTTTCATAATATTATTCTCAAGCTGTATTGTATTTATGGTATGTTGGGAAAAGTGTGACACACCATCAAAATATATGCAAGAGTAAGCAAAATCGTAATTAAATAGTTTTAATTGTGATTTTCTTAAAAATATAGCATTAAGAAAAATAATAATAATAATAATAATAATAATAATAATAATAATAATAATAATAATAATAATAATATTAATAATAATAATAGAAATAGTAATAATAATAATAATAATAATAATAATAATAATAATAATAATAATAATATAATAATAATAATAATAATAATAATAAAATATTAATAATAATAATAAGAATAATATAATAATAATAATAATAGTAATAATAATAATAATAATAATAATAATAATAATAATAATAATAATAATAATAATAATATAATAATAATAATATAATAATAATAATAATAATAATAATAATAATAATAATAATAATAATAATAATAATAATAATAATAATAATAATAATAATAATAATAATAATAATAATAATAATAATAATAATAATAATAATAATAATAATAATAATAATAATAATAATAATAATAATAATAATAATAATAATAATAATAATAATAATAATAATAATAATAATAATAATAATAATAATAATAATAATAATAATAATAATAATAATAATAATAATAATAATAATAATAATAATAATATAATAATAATAATAATAATAATAATAATAATAATAATAATAATAATAATAATAATAATAATAATAATAATAATAATAATAATAATAATAATAATAATAATAATAATAATAATAATAATAATAATAATAATAATAATAATAATAATATAATAATAATAATAATAATATATAATAATAATAATAATAATAATAATAATAATAATAATAATAATAATAATAATAATAATAATAATAATATAATAATAATAATAATATAATAATAATAATATAATAATAATAATAATAATAATAATAATAATAATAATAATAATAATAATAATAATAATAATAATAATAATAATAATAATAATAATAATAATAATAATAATAATAATAATAATAATAATAATAATAATAATAATAATAATAAAATAATAATAATATTAATAATAATAATAATAATAATAATAATAATAATAATAATAATAATAATAAAAATAATAAAAATGATAATAATATTAATAATAATAATAATAATAATAATAATAAATAAAGCTAATAAATATAAGAAAATAAATATTTATAAATCGTTACAATGATTATAATAACACTGTGCGACAAAATACATTACCAGAAAAATCTAACCGATTTGAAAGTGGAACTAACAAGTAAAAAAGCAGCTAAGTTCGGCCGGGTCGAACTTTTTATATCCTCCACCATTTGGAAGAAACTTTAAAAATTTCAACAAAAAAAAAAAATCCGTCGAAAAATACCGCTCAAATGAAAACCGTTATATGGGAGCTATACGAAGACGGGATCCTGCATAAGTAATTTGCGTCATAGGCTGAAGTAACGGTTCCGAATTTTATATACGAAATTTGAAACAATTTCGGTGAATAATGTCGCAAAAATCATGAAAATACCGAATATCTGGAGGTACGGTTATATGGGCGCTATACTAAAATGAGGATGTTAAGACAATTCTCTTCTAAGGGGTAAAGTACTCAAAAGGAGCCCCCTGTGTGGATTTTAACGTAATTGCATTGAATAATTTGGCTGAAATCATAAAAAATACCGAATATCGGGGGTACCATTAAATGGGGGCTATACAATATCGTAGACCTAAATAGACAATATTATTCTAGAGGATAAAGTTCTCACATGGAACTCCTTGTGTGAAATTTCAGACAATTCCTTTGAAAAATGCGGCTAAAATCATCAAAATACCGAATATCTGGAGGTACCGTTATATGGGGGATACACGATATCGTGAACTTATCCATATAAGTTCACGATATCGTGTATTCTCTTTTAGGGGGTAAAGTACTAACAATGTACTCCTTGCGTCGAATTTCGGAGAATTCCATTGAAAAATGTGGCTACAATCATCAAAATTCCGAATATCGTGGCTACCGTTATATGTGACCAATATACGATATCGTGGACCAATATAGTCCATCTTCGAACTTGTCCTGATTGTAGACAAAAGACATATCTGTACAAAATTTTAGCTCCCTTCCTCAGTTCCTTTTGACTGTAGCGTGATTACAACAGACCGACAGACGGACGGACGGACAGACAGGGCTAAATCATCTTAGAATTTTGCGTTGATCAAGAATACATACACTTTGTTGGGTCTAAAATTATTATTTCGATGATTTACATACGGAATGACGAACTTAATATACCCTCCATACTATGTATGGTGGAGGGTATAAAAAAAGAAGCAACGCTTATCGGTGTGTTGAAAGTTTACATCGTCAATCGGTGTTTTGAAAGTTTACATCCACACTTTTGAAAATTTTCGGATTAAGATTCCCTGGAGTCCGCTGATTTTGGCAAAATTACAATAATTTTGGTTGAAAACTCTAACCTTTAAGCGAGCCAAAAAAGAAGTTTTTTGGTAAATAACTACATTTAAACGTGGCCATAGCCTGTCAAAATATTCTGAAATATTATTTGCCATAAAATTTTACCCTGGGTCCCAGAAGATGTCAAAAGTCTAAATCTTATCAAAACGCCAGGAATTCGTTTATATTTAAAAACCCATTTTTGGGGTTAAAACCGTACCCTATGTGGGTTTATGGAAAACTCTCCTACAAAACTTCATCTTAGAAGGATGACATTAAAGACAAAAATATTCTTCCTCAAATTACACTATGAGTCACTGAAGAAAAGAAATCTATATTTCCACCGACTACAAAACAAAACCTCAATGTTGCAAAAAAAAAAAATCGAAAATATTTTCAAACATTTTGGATCAATTTTTCCGTGACCCTTTTTCGAGTTGACGCCTGAAAGTAACATAAAATTTCGTTTTAGGCATAAAGTGTCTTTAGACGGAATATTCTACACTAAATAAACGTTTAAAATCTCCTAATATATTAGCTGTAGGTTGATCTATATAATTTAAATTTTGTAAATGGCTTTTCAACATAGTAAGAGCTAATTATTATATTTTTTAAATATTTTTTAGGATTTATAATATTTATTTTTTATTAAAATATTTTAACAAATGATTGTTTATATAATACGTATTAATTACTATTATTATTATTAATAATATTATTATTATTATTATTTTATTAAAAAAACAATTTTTCTAATTTAAATTCCCCTTCCTCTTTTCTTTTTTAGGTCTCCACCTGCACAGCATTGAAGAACCCACAACAAATTCTGCTCAATTTCAATACAATTCCTACAATTCAAATCCGCACAGTAGCCTAAATCTTTATGTTGGTCCAGCTGGCGGCAGCGGCGGTGCTGGCGGCATTGGCATTGGTAGGATGACCACGGAGCTGGGGGGCACAGGTTATGGTTCAGAACAAAATTTACTACTACACAATCGTACCGGTGTCCCCCTGGCCACATATCAGCAACAGCAACAACACCAGCAGCATCAATACCAACCACAATTGCAACTACAACAGCAACAACATAATAATTACTCATCATCATCCTGCACAACATCATTAGGTTTAAATCCACTATCACCACAGAGGCACTATGATCCGGAATATGCACGCATGGAGGCGTGGATGGACGAGCATCCGGAATTTGTTCAGGATTATTTTATAAGGTGAGAAAAGTGGCGGAAATTTGCAACATTGAGCAAATAAAACAGGGAGACCTTTTCCGAAACTAAAAAAAAATAGGTCGAACCTTGTATATGAATTCCAGGACCTTGACATTTTAAATGTCTCATTTCTATATCGATACAGTAGCTCTTAACGACTGTCGATATTGCCTAATTTTTCCTTGTTATTTTGGCAACTACAAAACAAGTAAACACAAATTTTCGACAAAATAGCAATATTGAATGTTGTTAAGAGTTACAGATTTGGTGGGAGGAGGAGGGCTGGCATGGGAAGATCCTTAGTACCTTACAACATTTCAAATAATTGTTTTACAAGTCTTGTTCCAGAGATGCCATTTTCCAGCTATCTCGTATTTTTCCCCTACAAACCCCTTATGACAGTTGTCCTTGAATGTTGTCCAAAGAATGTTAGGTTCAACATTTGTGGGATGCACATTCCAAATAATCCAAATTCTTTCCCAACACCTGTGGGCTGTTCTTTTTCTAATAATTTTCAGTTGTTTTTCTTCCAACTTTTCACAAATATGACCTTTCGGGAAATCTATCCACCTACCTCTGTTTCAAAAACAACAAATCCTACAAAACGATAATAAATCGCACCCACATAGGGGCATATAAAAATTATGAGCTCTCAATGTTAGTTATATTGATGTCATATGTTTTATAGCCCACGCTCGAGAATTCCTATTGCATTTTTCCACCCATATTTTTCGCTTTATATTTTTTTCCTTTTATTATTTCCAAGCTGATTGACATCTCCTACATTTAATTGCTTTTGGTTTTATTTTTACTTCTTTCCATTTCGTCTTTTATTTTTTTTTTTTTTCTTCTTTCAATTACAGAAAAGCCACACGCCAGGTTGTGGATGCCTGGCTGGTCTCGCATGCAACATCAGCCGGTAATGACACATCCAATACATCACCCACACATCCCAATGGACAAAATTGCTCATCACGTGGTGGTTCCGGAGCCACAACGCCAGTTAGGTAAGTTGTGAAAAATAAAAATATTTTTATAGATATGTATTACAAAATTATTTCAGTCTTAAGAAGGAAATTTGAAGGTCACTCTATTATTTGAAGTATCTCCAATCCATCTAAGACCTCTTTTAGGTCTTCTATCCAAAAATCCAAGATTAATAACCTTCATGGAAAACCTTATAAAGCGGATTTTAGCCTAGGCTTTAAATTTTTTCTCTCTTAATGGGAGAATTCAATCATACACGCTATGATTATAATTATAATTTAAAATTTAAACGACTAAATACGCCGAAGCATTTGTATCTTTTAAATTCGGACTTGTATTGCCCATTTGGTGCAAAATTAATTCTAAATCAGATAAAGATATATATGGGAGCTATATCCAAATCTGAACCGATATCGATAAAATTTAGCAAAGGTATTTCTGAGCTGCATTTGATATATTTCGCCAAATATTGTTGTTACAGAGTGCATATTACGGCTGCGGAGGGCAAAAATAACAAATCGGACGAACAATATATATGGGAGCTATAGCTATATCTGAACCGATTTCCATCAAATTTGGCATGCTTATTTTTAGGCCTAATTTGGTTGCATGTGCAAAATTCCATACTATTCGGGCTGATATTACCCGTTTGGTGCACACTAAAAGGCAAATCGGACGAAGATATATATGAGAGCTATATCCAAATCTGAACCGATTATCTCCAATTTCAATAGGGTTCGTCTTGGGTCAAACAAATGTTGTTTGGAAAATTTCATCTCAATCGGATAATAAATGCGACCTGCATTTTGTTCACAAAAATACATGGACGGACGGACAGACGGACTGACATGCATAAATCAACTCAGAAAGTGATTCTTTGCTGATCATCAAAAGGAACTATGGGTCTATCTCGTTTCCTTTTGCCTGTTACAAACAAATGCACAAAGACATAATACCCTGACCACCTTGTGGTGTAGAGTATAAAAATAGTCTTTTAAGGACTCTTACCTATAAGTATACCTTTAAAGACCCATATCTTCAGAAATAGGTCTTCTGAAGGTATTTAAGGTATTTAAATTTGGAGAATCAGTAAAAGTTTTTCTATTAAAAAACAAGTAAGCAAAGGCTACAGTCGAGCGGGGCCGACCGTTGAATACCCTACAACACTATAATAAACCATACAGTTTATATAGGCGAAATACTCGACAGAATTCCACAAGATATTGTGACAAATAATAAAAGAAAACCATCAGGTTTCGTTCTCTATTTATCGAATAATAGCAACTTAAACTAATTTGCTCATTTCCAATTTATTGGTAGATGTTGCACCCAAAATCTCTCAGAAGTGGCAAAAGATTAACATTTATTATTGGTTTTTGACTGAAACGCATCTATATGAGATACAGACATTTGACTATATTCTTCAACGAAATCAGCGTTAACGAAATAGTTGGAAGTGTGTCTTTCCTGTATTTGTGAATTCTCCAAAAAGTCACTGGAATGGACATTTTCGTATTTTGTCTACAAAAGTTGCAAACTCCTTCACACGTTGAATATTTTTGGATGGCCATCCGAAACTGCTTGGCTTTTGCAATGTGCGGTAACCCCCATTCAAATGTGCCTGAGGATCTGGCGACAATTTTGCAGTTTTTTGGTCAATTTCAACCCCTAAATATATGGCGATCATCTCCAAAAAGAGTAGGCTTCTATTCTGACCCTCATCTTATCCACATGCAAAATTTCGTAAGGATCGGGCCATAAATGAGATCTGTATATGATATTCTCATATCCTAACTACTTAGTTTTGTTAGCTGTAGAAATATTACCAAATGTTTAATTCAAAATGAAAATATGCCAAAAATATGACAAAATTGAAAAATATGAGAAAATTTTACAAAATCAATATTTTCATCTTTAGTGAGATATTTTTATGCGATTTTTTAGACGTTTTTTCTTTCCTGCCAAGAGGCCATTCTGAATTAATGAGAACTGTCGAAATCAGTTCAGCCGTTCTCCACATATAAGAGATCTTTCAAGCATATCTTCTTTGATAGACATATATATCGCACATATTTTGCTATATATTTGATTTGTTGGATAATAACATCAATGTAAAGGTCAGAAGTAACCTTGTGATGGCTTTGTGATTTCGCCGGGATTTAAAATATTCACGGTTTAATGAAAAAATTTTGATTTTTTTCAACACAAAAGATATGGTCTATTTTACCCGCTAAATATTATCCGATGACCACCCAAATTAGTAGGGTTCTTCCCCGCCCTAAACTCTATCTACACACGAAATTTCGCGTCGATTGGTCTATAATTGCGACCTGTATAGCTACTGCAAAATCCGAAATTTTTCCAGTATTTGGTCCATTTCAACCCCTAAACATTTGGCGATCATCTCCAAAAGAAATAGGGTTCTATTCTGGTCCAAGCCCCACCTACATTCTAAATTTCGTGAAGATCGGGCCATAATTACGACCTGTAGAGTGATTACAAATTAACATGGACAGACGGACAGACGGACAGACGGACGGACGGACATACATAGCTAGATCGACTCAGCTCGGCGAGCTAGGAAGATCCATATATACTTTCCTATGTGGGAAACCAATATTTCGAGGTGTTACATAATTTTTGGGCCAATCAAACTTATAATACCCCCAACACATAGTGTTGTAGGGTATAAAAATATATAATAAAAGCTCCTAGCTTTACCTATCGAGGAAGGTCTTCTGCCCCGAAGATATAGCTCATTTAGAAGAACTTATAAAGATCTCATCTATTCATAATGCAATCTTTAAAAAGAGCGTTTTAAAGACTCCTACCTATAGATGGACTTGGAAAAAGCGGATATTTTCAGAAGAAGTTTTTAAGGACATTTATTTATGGAAGATCTTTAAATATGATTTTATTTTAAAAAGTTTTGAAACGGCATCAATTTATAGGAGTGCTTATACAAACTAGTTACCAGAGCTTTTAAACGTCTCTCAAAGCTCGTCTATGGAAGACCTTCTTAAATCTTTATATTTTTAAAAAAAGCTTATTATATCGAAATCCTTAAAAGATTGCACTTCTCTGGGGAGAAGACCACCCTCAAGCTAAAGAAGATCTTTAATAGCTATTATATTGATCGAAGAAAATTTATTATATAGACAGAAAAGCTATTTTATTAAGAATATACCTTTAAAAGCTCTTTTATAGACAACAGACATTTAAAAAGCTATTCTATGGATGATAAACCTGCAAAAGTTTTTTTTTTCTAAATTACTAGACCCTTAAGAACTCTTCTAAAGTTACAAGACCTTTAAATACTCTTCTACAGAAGAGTTACAAGACCCTTAAGTGCTCTTCTAAAGTTACAAGACCTTTAAATACTCTTCTACAGACACAATATTAAGGCTTTCTTATATACATTAGATCTAAAAAGCTATTTCATAAATAGAAGACATTTAGATATATGTTATAGATTCTAAAAGGGCTGTAAAAGCTCTTCTACTGACAGAATACCTTTTAAAGCTCATTTTGAGACAGAATATCCTTTAAAACTATTCTATAAACAGAAAACCTTTAAACGCTATTCTATAGACAGAGGACATTTAATATCTACTCTGTAGATGGAAGTCCTTCACAAGTTGTAGTATTGTTAGAAGATCTCTTTGATATATAGAAATCCTTCATAAGCATGCTAAAGATAGGATATCTTTAAGAGCTCTTCTATGGGTAGAATTTGGAGTCTTAAATTTTATAGATTATTCATATACATAAAACACCTTGAAATTATACAGGGTGAGATAAAAAAACTGCAACAAAATCAAACGCCATTATTTTTACACTTATTTTTTTAAATTTCATTGAATGAAAGCAAAAAATGTCGGAAATAGCATCACATTTTAGAATAAGTTTAGATTTGTTCGAATTGGTCACGAATTATGGCCTTCAAACGGCCAATGAAACCGTCACACGCTGCCTGAATGTTGTAATTGGGCCCATTTCCGACGGTATTGATATTTTTTAGTGCCCACCTTGCTTTCCAAAATACTCCAGGCACTATAGTCCAACGAATTGGTATCCGGAGATATTGGTGGCCATTGTGCGCTGGAAATGAAGCGAGGAACCTCATTTTGTAACCATTCTTGGGAGGCGCGTGCTGAGCTCTGTTGGAATGTCCAAGGTCTGTGGCCACAATATTTTCGCGAAAATATTCGTCATTTATTCGAATGCCACGGTCGATTAATACGAGCGACCATCGGCTGTTATGGCGGCCCACACCATCACCATGGCCGGCACTTGAGTTCTGGTGGCCAACCGAAAGTGCACATTTTCAGCTGACCTCTTTGGCAAGTAAACACGATAATTTTGTTTCTTTACAAACTGCTGGGCAATGAATGTTTTCTCATCGGAGAAAACCAAATTCGGCAGTTTACCACTTTCGGCCAAGCGAAGCAACTCTCTAGCTCTTTTGAGTCTATTTCCTCTCAGTTGCAGTGTAAGTTCTTATTTTGGAATTTCAATGGCTTTATCCCAACCTCATTTTTCAATATTTGCAAATGGAGCATTGCGACGCGGATTTTGATCAAGTCGCTTCTTTACTTTTCGAAAAATTTCTGCTGATGTTGCTCTTTTCTTCCGTCCACTTCCTTGACGTCAGGCTACGCTACCAGTATCACGGTAACGAGCGATGGTACGAAACACAATAGATTTATTCACTTTTAAATGCTGGAGTACTCTAACGCTAGCCACTTGTGATTCAGCCAAATATAATGAAATCACATTATCACGCTTGAATTCCATTACGAATAACATTTTTTCTAGAAAATTCTCACCGAAATGCTTTTGTACGCTTGTAAACAATATAATGAGCTGTCATTGGAATAATTTTAACAGCTGTCGGACGAGTGGCTTAGAAATGACAGGAGTCTGAAGTTGGTTGCAGTTTTTTCATTTCACGCTGTATCTTTTATAAATATTTTCTCTTCGCCTTAAAAACTGTTTTGTAAATATGTGGTTATTAAAA